GCTGTGGCATCACAGCTCACAGCAACCTCCAACTCCTGGGCTCAAGCGAGTCTCCTGCCTCAGCCTCCCAAGTAGCTGGGACTGCAGGCACCTGCCACAACTCTCGGCTATTTTTTGGTTGCAGCCATCACTGTTATTTGGCGGGCTGGGGCTGGATTCGAACCTGCCACCTTAGGTGTATGTGGCTGGTGCCTTAGCTGCTTGAGCCACAGGCGCCGAGCCGAAATCTTTCTCATCTTCTGAAGAAAATCTCCTGCTTCTTACAGTTACAATCCATATGGAACAAGATATCAACAGGACTATAAAAGCTGTTGATAATTCTAGGAAGAACCTACAAAAATATCATCATTTTCTATTATTTCCCAGATAAAAGTTGCTAGCATTTATAGTTAACTTTTGAAACAATTTACAAAACTAAAGTCATGATGCAGATCTCCTTTCTTATTCCCATCCTTACCAAGTCTTGGGGAAAAATATCATACCTGCTCTTAGCGTTAATTTTCTCCAGGTTTTTTATAAGTGCAGTTGAAAACCTCATCCTACAAGAGGAAAAAAGCTTGCATTATGAAACATGGATAACACTTATGGTATATTAAAAAAAATTAAACATGACTAGTTAAAAGACTGATTTCCCTCTAAGTATAACATACATTGGTTTTTCAATTGTATTGTATGGAAAATTACTGCAGAAATAAATCATGGAACTAGGAAGCAACAGCAAGATAGATGGTGTACATGGTTATACACTGCCAAGATGAGAGGCCAAGTGGACCTAAAACCTAGCCTGAGCTGAGCGAGCTTTCTAAGCCATCCCCCCTTAGCACAGGGAGAAGGAAGCATGAAGGCACTTAACGCAGGGAGAAGGAAGGCACGAAGGTAGAGATCCACATGGCCTGAAACAGAGATTTAGGAAACTTCCTGCTATAAGTTCCTTTGAATTGAAATAGCTGATAAGTAATAATAAAAAGGTAATCAACTCAGCAATAATAGTTATCTCTTTAATTCCCGCCACATACAAAAACCAATTCATCCAATTCATTAAAAGGAAATCTTCTGGGCGGCACCTGTGGCTCAGTGGGTAGGGGGCTGGCCCCGAATACCGAGCGTGGCAGGTTCAAACCCAGCCCTGGCCAAACTGCAAACAAAAAAAAAAATAGCCGGGCATTGTGGCAGGCGCCTGTAGTCCCAGCTACTCGAGAGGCTGAGGCAAGAGAATCAATCACTTAAGCCCAAGAGTTGGAGGTTGCTGTGAGCTGTGATGCAAAGACACTCTACTCAAGGCAACAGCTTGAGACTCTGACTCAACAAAAGTATCTTCTTTTTGCGACACAGTATCACCTATCACCCCAGCAGCACCATCATCACAGTTCAAGACCATGTCAAATTCCTGGACTCAAGTAATCCTCCTGCCTCAGCCTCTTGAGTAGTTGAGCCTACAGGCCTACACCAAAATGCCCCACTAAGAGTTTGGTCTTTTCTTTCTTTCTTTTTTTTTGAGACTGAGTCTCACTATGTCACCCTTGGTAGAGTACCATGGTGTCACAGATCACGGCAACCTCAAACTCTTGGGCTTAAGCAATTCTCTTGCCTCAGCCTCCCAAGTAACTGGTATTACAGGCACCAGCCACAACGCCTGGCTATTTTTTTGTTGCAGTTGTCATTGTTGTTTGGCAGGCCCGGGCTGGGTTTGAACCTGCCTGCCTCAGTGTAAGTGACCGACACCCTAAACAATGAGCAATAGGCACCAAGCCTGTTTTGTCTTTTTTTTCTGTATTTATTTTTATTTTTCTTTAGTTTTTCAATTTTTTCTTGTTTACTTTGTTTCTGGTTAGGTGTACTGAGTGAATTCTGGATTTGGTATTTTCTTTTTTTTTTTTTTCTTAGAGATAAGAGTCTCACTCAGTCCCCCTGGGGTTGAGGGCCATGGCGTCATAGCTCACAGCAACCTCAAACTCTTGCTTGGGCTCAAGTGATTCTCTTGCATCACCCTCCTGTGTAGCTGGGATGATAGGCACCCACTATAACACCCAGGTATTTTTTAAGAGATGAGGTCTTGGCTTGGCGCCTGTGGCTCAAGTGGCTAAGGTGCCAGCCACATACACCTAAGGTGGTGGGTTTGAATCCAGCCCAGGCCCGCCAAAACAACAATGATGGCTGCAACCAAAAAAATAGCTGGGCATTGTGGCAGGCGCCTGTGGTCCCAGCTACTTGGGAGGCTGAGGCAGGAGACT